TGTTTTAGATCTTGATGGACCAACGCGAGTGGCATAGCTTGGAATGCATGCGTACTTGTGTTGTGATGGCTCAGCGGACCCTAGTTGCAATTGCGCATTGTTCTGTAATTATGTACATTGGACATTATTATGCTTTTAAACAAGATATTAGGGATTAGGATTGGGAATGTTAACAAGTCCATACAACGCTAAAATGTCCTAATTAGACGGCGATGAAAAATATAGTAAAAATACCGTTATAACTGTAGAAAATAAGTTAAAACGTTCACGAGTCGACAAAATTAATGTTCATAGAACCATCCACATTCTCTATTGCTAATGCAAGTTATCGTTAAAAATACATTTTATGAAACGTTTTATTTAAGCCAGTAAGTGGTATTCATTGTATTTTATTGTATAGTTTCAAGTTTCTCCCCAACAAGATTCGTGGCTTCGACTATTGCAATCCCGCGTTTGCTCTTTTGTTTCCAAGTGTTCATGATAACATCAGACAGACACATTTCCCACTACCTATCCCAGTGTAAGGTGAGGTTTACGAGTGTACACAAAACCTCGACCACGCCCAACGGACTCTTCTAAGAGTGGAGTGAAATGCGAGCATTCGTCTAAAAATAGAAACACAACAGCGTTGTAAACCCATTATCAATACTGGCATGGCGGGATGTTTGCGATTAGAAGTACTCAGTAGGCCTATATCACATCCTTTCTGATGATTATATAGAATTAACTGTTCTTATATTGATTGTTGTGTGACTGATGCCTTATCTTAGACAACACCAAATGTTTGTACGAGAACAATGTGTGGACTCTGATAATACAACACAGTATAGCAATTGTCCGGATAAAGTGATCCAGAGTTAGGCTTTGATTAATGTTGCTATTGAATTAATTGATGGATTTGACTGTGGTCGAACATCAAATATAGTTGGATGCTTGAATTTTAAATCTTCTTGGAGAATATAAAAACTAATCCAACATGCTTTACTAACACCTACGTCACAACTCTTTGGTAACGTAAGTTTGTTGAATGAATGTCAGAGTCAAAGACACTTCTTTACTCAAATTCGCAAAGGTAATAGAGATAAATAATCGAAATACACAGAACGATTGACGATTATTCCAGAGATTTTAACTTCTCACTTCTTGACGAAGCCATGTTTTTTTTGCTGAATCAATAATATGACTGGATGGTGTAATGGTGAATCAGAGGGGTGATGTTGTTTGATGAGTCAGGCTTAGGTAGACGGTCACTATACACAGACACAGATACTGTAGTAGTTACCTAATACGTTCTACTTGAGGGAAGTTAAGTAAGTGGTTTACTTTGATACTGTACATGGTTTGTTCAGGATATTTACGTCGGAGAAACCCGCGTGAAAGTTGTTAAGATCGTGTGCAGACAATTGCGTAAACTATCCCGGGTAATGAACTTGACAAGGGACATATGTAAAGACCGGAATATAGCGGACATAATTATTTCGATAGTATAACAGTGACCAGGATTTCCCTGTTTTTACCCTATTGTCGTACAAAACTATTGCTTCAATTTCCCGTGACCATATAAAAAATAGTTTTTGACTATAGATAGGCCTAGTTGAAGACTATAGTTTTATAGTTTTACGTGCAACGCCAGTGGAATGTCAGTAGAGAATTTTAGAATTGCCGGCTGTTTTGAACCATAATGGACTTACTGAGCCAAGGACAAGGGTGCTGATATAAACTCCCGAATCACCGATTGCTGTCAAATACCCCCACTTTTTAACATAGTCAAACGGATATGACTGTCCTATTAGGATGCACTATAGTATCTTTAAATTCGTTTGCACAAACTACCTCAGGGACAAAAACTATGGCAGCAACTAAATTAGAATTTTAGTCAGTAGCGCATTCTGTGACTGTAAGAAGCTCTTTAGCTACCTACTGTTTGAATATTAAATACGCTACAGCTGGTCCTTATCATTGTTATGTGTACTATATGTTATGGACATAAAATACAGTTGCCTCGCATGCAAGGATTTGAAAAAAAATCATAAATGTAGGACTTGGGCTTAACTATTTACCTTCACCTTACAATTAATATCTCCGTAACTGTTTGAGATATAGAGTTGAAATTTGGTATGTAGGATAGTTGCAGCCTCTAGTTAGTGTAAATGTAAAAAAATTCTGCAACGCTACACTACTTAAACCTCATCAGCGGAGCTCTTGCCTCCCAGCTTCAACCAGCACTCGCCTTTTGAAACAAAAAGCTCGGTTCCAGAAAAGACAGTGTTTTTCCTCAAAATTTCAAGTTCCAGAACAGACATTCACTCTCTACTTAGGGCTATTACTGTATTTCAGTATTCAAAAGTTACACTACTTCGCATTGCCACCCAAGTTTGGGTTTCACAGCGACATTGGGAGTCGTTTCCACAAAGCCTATCTGTGCGGCTGAGTGATAACGACCCCAACTCTTCCTGTGAATTCTGATAATGACTCGTGTCATTCTCTTTGTCCATTGATAAAACATATTCCCAGTGGAAAAGTCAAATTCGTCCAAGGCTCATATCCTTACTTTCAAAATCCACATGTACAAAATTAATCAATACAAAATTAAATCACAGCGGCTCATTTTTACATTGGGTTCCAATGTCAGTGACATTTTAAAATAAAATGGGGGATAGAGATTCAAATTAGTTTGTATAAAATTAATACTAAGGATCGAAACTCGTCTTCCTCGCACATTAGTCCAAGACAACCTATAGTACTTATTATTTTGACAATTTTGTTTAGCCTAAAGTGGCACATTAGAACAATACAGAAAATTGAAACATTGTGTTGTATATTATACTGTTATTCCATATTCTTTGTATTTAATGATTTTTTGTATCGGTTACATTGCTTTGAAACAGGTTTTTTACATCGGTGACTTGGTGACTTCAGAGTTTCAGTTTTCCTTGATGCTGTGTGGATTCACAGATGTTCTGTGCCTAATTGACTTAATTGTATTAAATTCAGTATTAGACTTGTGAAAGTATAACACACGGTATTACCATTTACCGTCTCAAATTTAACTAGATATGCTGTTAAGTGCTATTAATTCTTTTTGTCTATGTTTAAATGTAATCTCATTAATTCTGCACTATCAGATGAGTTTATCAAGAGAAATTGAATGGCACAAACCAGAGGTCAATATCGCACCCATAACAACAATAAGTAAATAACAACAAGTTATACTTATAAATAACAAATACCCTCGCCGCAGCAAACCTGCAGACTAATCGAATTTCAACTTGCCTGATTACATTTTTACTAAAATATTTCCATAAATAAGACATATTTATTCCCAATTTAAATAACATTAGATTTAACCTGTGCTTAGGTTTGCTGCTACGGGGAAGGTAAAAAGTGTTTTTTGACCATTTGTCAATAGTATAGGATGAAATAAATAAATTTGCCAAATTTTATCAACATATATCCATTAACAAGTAAACTACAACAGTTTTTATTTTCTCCATAGGAATAACATGGGAATTTTAAATTACACTTTTTTTAATTTTCTCCGTGACCGTTAGGCATAAAACAGCGCTTCAATATACTAAATTATTTCTTTTTTTAAGCTCTACAAAATGGTTGAGAAATAAATTGCAAAAATTTTCATTTTTAGGGTTAAAAATGGGAAAACCCTATTTTTACCCCATAAACCCCTGTTCCCATGGTCCGATTATGCTGGTTCGCGAACTCGTTCGAATAAATGTAGGTTTACACGTTTGTACCAAATTTCATCAAAATCGGGCCATTTTTGCTCGAGTTATCGCGCTAACGGACACATATATATATATATATATATATATATGAATTTGAACGGATGGTGTTTGAAAAAGTAAATCGGTCCCGGGTCTAGGTCTTACCATGAGACCTACGGTATAGCTTATTCCCTATATGGGAAATTCGCTAAAAGAGATTATTGAATTAACTGTTATGTTTTAAAACACCTGATTGCTTAAAAAAATTATTTAATTTTTAATTTTATTGCTTGCCATTTGATAATTCCTCCTTCATTAAGAAAGTCCTTTATTTTTTGCTGGCTTTATGTTTATTTCACATTTTATTGTTTGGCTAGGGTAATTACAATTTGATTGAGGCGGCAATAAGGGAGTGTTTAATCTATGGCATAACACATAGACCTATCATAAAGTTGCATTATCAATATTATCTAATCACCCTAGGCCATCAATTTCGTCTGATGCCGCTATTCAGGAAAAATTATTACCAGAGATAAAACACTGATTGGCACCGTTTACGAAGAGTTCAAATAAACACACCTTCACATTACAAACCACACGCATCGAGAAATGTGCCAACTGACAACAACACTGGCAATAGTGGCAATGTGACTGACTACTGACTGATATTTTGTTTTGTTGGTCACATGCACATCCTAGAGTTTTGCCATTACCCTGTCCCTACTAACATTCCAAAGGTGTCAATCTACCTGTTGCCTGTTGTCCACTTCTCTGTTAACTGCCACTCCCACCCGCATTATGTGGGCAACTACAATGTTCGTATTCGAGCACATCGTAAAAGGAAAACAAATATAATTTTATGAGCAAGTTCCAAGAATGCCTCTTGTAAGCAGAAATACTTTTTTTAATTGGTCGCAACCGTAACTACAACTACATTACCGATGGCGGGTAAATTAGTATTTTAAATACTCCCCTATAATGTTTGTCCCGGTAAGCTCTTAGCTAGTTTTTCTTAAGTATCTCTAATTCTGTATAGTAAAGTTTGATAAGAGTACATTTTGTAAATAATTTAGTTTTATAGCACAATCCATCCCAGATCGGTCAAAGATCAAGTCAACAAGTCGAACGAACAAGTATCAAGTAAGTTACTGTAATGTAGTCAGCTGGTACGTTAGGTTAGGTGATGTGACTACGAGACAGTCCTCGTACAAAATCATAAGGAACCTCTAAAGACAAAGTTGCAAAATACTATTTTGTATGAAATATAACTAGGCCTACCTGAGACAAGCAGATGTTTACAATTCGTTATCCACAACACCAGTATAACTCTCAGCACCAATTCAAACCTATGTTTCATTTTCACTTGACACTTGGCACAAACAACTGTTACACAAAATAAATAAATAGGTCATTCCTGAGTATGGCCTGTTGAACAAATTTTACTATTCACAGACTGTAACAAGAGTAGGAAGTATTGATACACAGTTAGTGAAGTAATAAAACTTGTTGTCGCCATCACTGAGACAGTCCGTAGTAGCAGCAGGTTTCACTTTGACTTTGGAGTTTGACTTGACTGTTTGACACCGACTGAGAGGTATCAGTGCTGCCAACAAGACGGGAAGGAATTTCCCGGAATTTTTTAAAGATTTCCCGAAAATCCTCACGATTCCATTATAGCCCAGTCAACCTGTGTCGTAAAACACCGGTTGAAGGAAAAAATTAGTAACAAGCTGATTTTTTCCCATCGACTACTACCATTTAGAGAAGTGTTCAGCCAAAAGTCCCAACCCCTACCCCCTTGCTTCCCACCCTGTGCCCCCCTAAACATATAAAGTGCAAGGGTTTCGTAAATCACGTTTTTCTCGATTGTTAAACAACGTATTGAATTGCAATTAGTTTTATTGTCTTTGTTATAAAATTTCCTACAATCCTGTTCAGTTAACTTTCGTCGTAGCTGTTACAGTTTGTTCGTTATTTCATTGTTTAAAAATGTACAAATTTATATATTTTTGAACATATATTTTTTTTTGTCGCCTTAACTTTTTTCGCTGACGTTTTATGGAAATATGTTTAGAACAAAAGTTGTAGCCGCATTCATTAGCTTTAAAATGATGTATAATAGTACTTACTTTAATAAAAAATCCTGCGAGATTCAGCTGGTGTAATGCAGTATGCGTACTCAATCAGTGAGCTAAGTGGGGCTGGCGCGGCGTTGCAATACTATCATTGTTGTAACTAGGGAGAGTGGTTTTTTTACTTAAGGTACACTATTGCATTATCTCCATACCCCACCGCAGAAAACCTGCGACTAAGCAAATTTTCGTTTACCTGACTGGATATTTACTCAAACATTCCCTTAAAATCGTCAAAATTGTTTCCCGATCAGATTATTCTAATGAATACTCAGGTTTGCTGCTACAGCCAAGGTATTGAAGAGTGTTCTTTCATTTGAAATGTTGATAGCTTTTTATGAAATAAATAAATTTGATTATAATATATCTATAAACAAGCAAACTACAACAGTTTTTTTCCTTTTATTCTCCAAAAGAATAAAACGGGAATTTTAAATTTTAACTTTTATGAATTATCTTCGTAACCGTTAGGCGTACAACGTTGCTCCAATAAATATACAATAAATATACAAAATTATTTATTTGTTTAAGCTCTACAAAATGGTTTGGAAAGAAATTTTAATATTTTGTTGTTTAAGGAGAGAAATTGGAATATCCAACGTTTACCCCATAAAAACTCCCATAAACCCCTATTTCTATTGTCCGATCATGCTGGTTCGCAAACTCTTTCGAATAAACGTAAATTGATACGTTTGTACCAAATTTGATCAAAATCGGATCATTTTTTCTTGAGTTATCACGCTAACGGACTCATATATATAATCTTAAATTTTACATTTTATTTATGAATTTCAACGGCGTAGGGTGTTTTCAGCCTCTGAGGGCCTCAAAACGAAAAAGTAAATCGGGCCCGGGTCTAGGTCTTACCATGAGACCTACGGTAATAGCTTATTCTCTATATGAGGAATTTGCTAAAAAAAAACACCGAAACAAAACACATGTACAGTTAATACAATTTATTTCTATCATTTGTATTTAAAAATCATTAAATCACTTTATATGTACATAATAATTTTATAGAATGTTATTTTTGAACAAATAATTGCATTATCGTGATTTGAAGTTAAGAATTACTCATACATCGAATTGAAATTTTTCCCTTACAACTTCTTTCCCCCCTGATCTTAAATTTTCAAAACTGGGGAAAGACGAATCATCATACACTCGGTTTTTAATTTTATTGTCTTATCATAGCCGCAGCTGTAGAAACTATTCTCTTGCCTTGTCATTGTTATGCCTTTTATTTTAAGAGTACCAAGTATCAGAGACAATCTTGTCCACCCTATCTATTAAACGAACTATGGAGGATTTATTTTTATGTTCGTAGTCTAATAAGAAGTCTTTCTCCAAGTGATTTAGTAATAATGTTTTGAAGTACTTCGTTTCATAAACCTGGTCTCTCTTTGCCTGATATATTTTTCGTCAATTGCAAAAGGTTAGGAATACTAAGCTGGCAATCATAATTTATTTTCCTCAATGAAATCGCAAACTTTTATGAATGATTCTATTAATAAATCGTTAACTGGTCTACCACGACCTGCACACGTATTGGATGATTGAATGGGTTGTTTCAAAAAACCTAGTATAACAAAGTAAACAAATCCTTCTAGCCTGGACCTAACCTAATCGCCTATTTTTTCCCTATTTTCAATACATTTACTTATAGTTTGTTTATTAGTTGAATTGCAGTATGAACTAAATCGACTGCTTTCCTATTGTTTTTGGTGTCTTAAAATTTAAAAAAAATCGAGTTATGGGTAGAAACATCGTGCACGAGTGCGGTAACGGATCCATACGTTTCAATGGGTAAGGTGAATAAAAGGTAGTACATACTACGTAGTTCGTACTACATAGTTCTAGCACTTGCTCAAATCGAAGTGAATAAGAATTAGCTAGAACTAGGTAGTAAGTACTAGGGGTTCCCTATGTGATGTAGTAGGTACTATAGTAGGTACCTGCCTAGTACGTACTACCCCCTAGTACTTACTAGAGTGATTCACTAATAAACAAGTCAAAACAGGCGCGGGGCGATAATCAGCTGTTTGTCGTCATTCCGTTGGTCATTCCTGACAGCACCTTCAGTTGTATCAGACGTGTTGAGTGACTAGTAATGTTGCTAAAAATTTAAACGAATTGCGTGTATTTGGCCTCTGGGGACATCAAAAAGAAAAAGTAAATCGGTCCCGGGTCTAGGTCTTACCATGCCACCTATGGTAATAGCGACTTACTTATAGGGAAATTCGCTAAATAGAGAAAATTACAAAACGCAACAATCCTATCAAGATACAAAATTATTATTTTAATTACGCTATGCAATTGATATTACTTTATAAACAATTAATTCAAAATTTTTCCTAAGATGCAATTAATATTTAATCCAATTAAAAAATATCGTTTATTTAAATCACTTTGTTATTATATAATTAAATCTTATTTACGACCGATAAGAAGGTATTTTAATTTGTACTAAAAATAGCTCAACTTACCCGGATCACCAAAATAACAAAATAAAATTTCAATTTTCTGTCGAGATGACAATGCCCCTCCTCTTCTCTCAACTTCACCATTGCCAGGCAAAAACTCGTTGGTCAAAAAAATCAACGTGAAATCAACACTATCATTCTCAAATCGCAGTAATTGCTTACAGTTACCAATATTTCTTCGTTCAAGGTATGTTTTCCTGTTACGGACTTGTAAAAACATCGCCATATTCGCAAACGATCAAACTGAAGCATGCCTTTGAGCGTACTACATAAAAATGAAGTAACTACTACGCCGACTGGTTTTTATTCACCGAAAAAGCATAGTAGATACTACTTTCCCTAAGTGATGTAGTGTGTACTAGGGGTAGTACGAACTAGCATTTTATTCACCTGCAAGTCGTAGTTTGTACTAGGGGCTAGTACCAACTAGCATGTTTATTCACTGAAAACCGAGTAAATACTTCGAAAAGAAGTACGTACTACCAAATACTACATTTTATTCACCTCACCCAATATATCATTTTAAAGCTGATAGCAGCTACAATTTTGTTTAAAAAATACTTTTTTAAAATGACGGCGTTAAAAGTTTTGGAAAAAATGAACAAGTCCATAAAGTATTATTTTTTTCATTATTCTACGGATAACAAACAAACTGTAACAGTTACGACGAGATTTAACAGGACATTATTGTAGGAAATGTTATTACAAAAGGAATAAAACAATTGCAATTCAATGTATGTTACATTTAAAACTCCCAGATCTTTGTTCAGAGATAACAACCTTTAAAAATACTACATACCTAAACAAATAATTTACATGCTTTTTAAATAATAAACTAAATATTTTTTTAATCGATTTTGTTTAATGAACTTTAAATGTTATTCAATTTAAATTGGCTTTCGATTGTTTTTTTTTTTAGAATAATACAATAGTGTATCTAAAGTAAAAAAATCTCCACATTACAACAATGATAGTATTTCGCGCCAGCCCCACCTAGACCAAATCCACTGATTTAGTACACATACTGCATTACACCGGCTGAATCTCGCAGGATTTTCATTAAAGTAAGTATTATTATACATCATTTTAAAGCTAATGAAAGCAGCAACAACTTTTGTTTTAATATATTTTTATAAAACGTCAGCGAAAAAGTTAAGGCGACAAAAATAAAATTATATATGTTTAAAAATATATCAATCTTTACATTTTTATACAAATAACGAACAAACGGTAACAGCTGCGACGAAAGTTAACTGAACAGGATTGTAGGAAATATTATAACAAAAGGAGACAAAAAATACCAATTCGATGTATGTTACATTTTTGACTTTAAATCATGGCAATGCAATTATTATATTCAAAGATAGCATCCTTTAAAAATATTATATTTTTAATATTATATTATATATTGTACTAAAATATTATATTATTTTTAGAGCTTATGAATATACTGTTAAAAACTGATATGGAGAGAAATTGCAAATTAAAAATTCCCACGTTGTTTTTAAGAAGATAAGGTTTACAGTTTTGGTTTAACTTGTATATATATTTCTACCAAATTTGGAATGTTATTTTTTAAAAGCTATATATAAGTTACTATTAACATTAAATGAAGAAAAGAAAACCACCCTTTCCCCGTAGTAGCAAACCTAAGTGCATATTGAACCTCGTGCTATTATTAGGTATACATCTGATATTTTCAATGATTATATTAGAATGAAAATCCAATTAGGCAAATTAATGGAAGTTCGCTTCTGCAGATTAATGGTGGCAGGGGTATATTGTAATCTTAAGGCTGGTTACTCTAATGTCCGTCGTTGTGCATAATAACAATTATCAATAAATTTAAATTAATTTTAATCGAATCCAAAATTATTATGCTAAAATTGTAGGCAACCTGGATTTTTAACTACTGTATCAGTATAATTAATTATCGTACCCTACGATAAGCCTGA